ATCGAAAGATATATGATATTCATGGAAGCTTTTATAATAAGTGTTTTCAGAAATGAGCATGTAATATAATAGAGCTTCAGAGTAATAGTCTTCCTACCTTTTTCTTCTTGTCTTTAAATTGTTTTATTAAAGTGATCAAATGCTCCACTAGAAACATGAAGTACAAGCCTCCAAGTGCTGTAAGTCCTTTCCATGTAGAATCCAGGTAAGCACTCTCCTCTGTACCTTGAAAAACAAGATGTTTGTACATAGAGCCTTTATGATCAAGCAGAGGCTTTTCGTGGTGATGGTGATGGTTTCCATGAGACTAAGGGGAGAACAAAAAGGGGAAAGTCATCATATTCAAAAGAACCATAATGTAAGAAAAATATAAAGTATTCTTCACATCATTTTCCTCGTCTCTGGAGTCCAGACTTGGCAATTTTCACAGGGCAAATGCTCTGCTTACAGACTCAAACAATTAAAAAGGAATCTGTTGATTGGAAATTTTTTCATAGGAAGAAACATTGCAAGGACTGAGAATAAGCCTGGCACTGGTCCACTCACTGAAGCTGCACGGACGCTGCTTAATCCAAGGTGTACATCTGCCCCCACACAAACTCCTGGCACCATCAAGGAACCCACATTTTAAGCAGTGGTCACAGCCAGCACACCAGTTAGCTTCCTATGCAGGAAAGCTCCTAGATGTCAAACAATTCTTTCTACAAGGAAGTTGGCTGCAATTTCTTTCTTTAAAGGAAGTCTGACACTTTTCCTCTCCTTACTGGGTACAGGTATGATCAGAAATAAAAAACCTTTTTGCACATCTCATTCACACGTTTTGATTTACATAACCTTACACAGCAAATGCAAAATTAACTGAAAGGAAAAAGAACCACCTGGTGGATTATAGGCAGGAAAACCACAGAATCTGCAGTCACTTTTATCCTTTTTATTTGAAAGCTGAAACAAGCTGCTTTTGGGAGGGGAGAATGTCTATTTAAGAACTTCAGGAAAGATAGCAATTTAGCAATCATATTTCCATTTCGTTGTCCCTATTACATAATAGCAATTCCAAAATCTATCAAGTAGTATTTTCCCCAGGACTTCAGAAATTATGGATTCTGGTAAAAAAAAAAAAAAAAAAAGAAAAAGAAAAATCACAAAGCCATCAACATAAGTAGCTTGTAACAAAAAATAGTTGATTATTTATTTCACATTTAAAGTCTTCAGTGAGCAATTTCCAATATCTCTAAAGTCCATTAAACTGGGGAAAAAACAGGTGGCAGCACTGCAATAAACCACTAAGAAAATTTATGCAAAATTCTTGCATTCAAGGAACAATAAAAGGACCTGGCAGCACATATGACTAAGAACAGGAGAGTGGGATAATGCTATGAAGCTCTTGAACTTTTAAAGACTGTGAAATTATTAATGCAGATGTTCCAAATGGAAAACCATCAAACAACCTGCATAACAGGGTTGAGAAATGACTCATCAAATGGGTACGAACTAATAGGGCACTAATACATACAGCTACCAAGTTCTCCGCTTTGAGATAATGAATGAAAGAATAATTAATACTTACATGTGGAAGGAGGTGTAAGAAAGCATCTCCACTCAAGGTCCCCACAGCCAATGCCACAAGAAAACTCAGAAGAAATTTGAAAAATACTCGATTCATCAGTGGTACCAATATAACACCCAGCAAGGAAAGAAAGCTGATGACGGAGATGGATATAAAGCCACCAATCCAAGCTGGCAAAAAAAAAAAAAATAGTAACAACGATAAGTAACAGCTGTACATGATTTTGTTTGCTTAACATTTTTGTTATCAAACACACCTGATCATTCAATTAATCAGATGTTAACAAAAGGTATGCCACAAAGATTTTTCTCTAATCTTGGTGAAGTGCCAAAAGAAAATGACACTTCTTACAACTATGAAATAGGTTTCTTGGATTTATAACCAACATAAACACTTTTCCATTGAGCTTCGATGTTACAAAAAAAACCAAAAAACAAAAAAACCAGCCTACCTATTTGCAGAGAATAACTTTTTGGAGGAGTTTCAGCTTTTTCACTAGTAGCATGGACTATGCAGTACTTGCCATCAATCTGGTTAATAAGAGCTGGACAGAGATAACTAAATTCTGTAGCAGTCAACAATACTTGAGTGCCTATTCCATGCGACTGCATCAGTTTGGATGCATTGGAGCACTGTGGAAAGAGACACGTTAAAGATTAACCAGAAACAAAATACCACGATCCATCTTAAAAGGACTGCACATCCCATCTTAATTGAAATGCAGTGGCACCACATGAAAGCAGCTACATCAACATAACTCAAAAACTCTTAACAAACCCATTGAGTAAAACATGTACTTCCACCCTAATCCTGCCTCAGAAAGTTGGTTTGGGAGTCTGGGTAGATGACATGTAATTATTCTCAGCACAAATGGGTCAGATGCTTTGATGTACAAATAGAAAAAGCCTAACGCTTTTCAGTCAGTTTTAAAGGCCACATAAGGAAGCATTAACAAGGTCAAATGCTGTTTTGTAGCACTAACTGCTGTACATCGTCTTATAGAAAGCATGTTGCACATACACTCCCTCGAGTAAATAGCTTCCCACTGTACAACCTACACAAAGTCTCAGTGGGTTTAAAAAACAGTAGTACTTCTGCTTCAACAGTGCAGAACACAGCAACAATTTGTGAACTCAGCACCCACCATCACATGCCACACAACACCAACTCAGAGTTACCTGGCATGGCTGCAAACATTGCAAGATCCTGCTTGCTTTTTAAAGCCTTTAATAGAAAAGGATCTGACTGTTTAAGAAAAATGTCTACAACACAGATATACTCTTTATCAGTGCTAATTTTACACTATTTTAAAGTAACATGTGACATTTTGCCACAATCCTTTTCAGAGTTGTTAACATCCCGTTGTTAGATGGGGAGGGGAAGGTGTTAAGAGGACGACGGTTCGACACTATCACAATGTGAGACAGCTTTCGTAAGAATCACAGTACCTTAATTTGACTTTTTTACTCCATTAATAGGAAAACAAGACAGATTCCAGATCTAAGGCAGATCTGCATGTTTAAAACTGTAGCTGCTTTTCAGGTTTAGTAACTATTTAATATTTAGTAGCAGTTAAATATATAAATCATAAATGCATTAAACCAAGTGTACATTTATACTTAATTTTCCTCTGAGCTTGTGAACACAACACCATATTCCCTCAAAATGTTAAGTTCCAAGGAAAGTTGTTTGCATGCATTTGCCTATGGGTATTGTTACAGCACAAAACCTGCACCCAGGTAAACAATAAGCATCTGAAAAGTAAGCCATGACAATATTCCTGATGGATCTGGATTCCTGAGAACACAACAGAACCAGCCTCACCTCTTGAATGTTTTGTTTTTTCAGTTTAGAATAGAGGTAGCTCCCTCTCTCCAACTCCTTTGGAGAAGCACGAGTTTCGTTTGCCTTTGTGGCACCCAGCCAGGTGGCATTGCGGCCCCCTGTGACATTAGCGGCACCAGGGCCAGCTGCGCCCACTCGAACGACTGTCTTGACTTCTCCGGGCTGCACGCTCTGGAGCTCGGCCTGGCCGCCTGCGATGACGGACGCCGTGATCTCATGGAGCGCGTTCTTGCTGCGCACAAAGTTCTGCTGCCGTTCCACGCTCTCGGCTTTATGAGGCTCCTTCGCGTGGCTGTTCCTGTGGTCTTTGCTAGCGTCAGATTCGTGGCTTGGACAAGCAGTCTTCTCAGAGCTTTTACTCAATGAAACATGATTATGATGAGAGTGATGGTCGTGGTCATGGTCGTGATGGTCATGATTGTGGTCATGATCATGGTCATGATCGTGGCTTATTTTAATCCTCTTCATTTTATCTATACCTATGTTCTGTAGCAGTTTTCTAAACCCATCAATTGACAGAGAGTTGTTTTCTCCATAACGATTAAAAAGTTCTTGAAGGTGCAACTTCTGTATTAGTCCTGCCAAGTCAGTATTAACACCCACTGTCTTTTCTGGAAAAGCTCTCTCTGATGTATGCACAACAGTAGCTGTCTCCACCCCATGGTGATAACTTTCACACAGCAGTATGGAAAATGATACAAGAAAAATAACTGATACCGTACTCTCCATTGCAGTTCCTTTTCAGCAGTGAAAATAATCTGGAAAAAGAAGAAAATGTAAATGGTTTGCACAAAACCAATCACCTTATCCTCCATAATACACAAAAAAACCACCACAACAAACAAAACCAAACCCTACTGGAAGTATCAGTGCAGCAAGAGACATTTAAATTTCTTACACATTCAGCACTTTTCCCAGATGTGTTGCCTCAGGCAACAGAAGAAGCTGAATACCACAGTGAGGTCACTGGCCATGAACACCTCCCCAGGTGCCAGCTTGCCTTTGTTTAGCTCTTGCTTTGCTTCCATTGCTAACATGGGCTATACAATGAGAGCCCTCAAGGGTGCACCAAGTAAGTTCTAGGTTAGGGTTTTCTCATGCTTAAAAGAAGCCCTGTAATTTCTGTCTGAGCAACGAATAAGTCGTATAAACTACACGATCCTGCTTAAAAATCGAAATTCCCAACCCTTTGTCACTGAATTTCCCAGAGCTTTTGGCAAACCAGCTGGGCAAGTCTTTCCAGCACTCCACAAAAATCTGGCTTTTTATGCAGTCACGTTCTGCCTTTGTTTTAACATCAGCGTCGCACGGCTCCTTTCACCAGGCAGGCAGGCCATTGCCGTGGACCACATGCTCTCAAGTGTGAGCGCTTGTGTGCTTCATTCCATAAAATTCCAGCAGGGCTGCGAATTAACTGCTATGGAGACTGCGTGCAGGGCTGTGCCACCTCAGTCCTTTTCCAGGGCGATGAGGAGAACCTCCGTTTCCAAAATTATCAGTCAGCCCGGAAAACCCCACACCGCCGCTGGAAAGAGAGGAGGGGACCTCCTCATTGTCGGTAAGTAATTGAAAGAGGAGTGCCAAGAGGATGGATCCCGGCTGTCTCGGTGGTGCCCAGCAACGGGACAAGAGGCAAGGCGCAGAAACTAATGCACAGGGAGCGACCACGGAGTATAAGGACGAACTTAACTGCGCGGGTGACCGAGCACGGGAACAGACTGTCCAGAGAGGGAGCGGACTCTCCCTCACTGGAAAAATTCAGGGACCGTCTGAACGCAATCCTGTGCCACGTGCTCTGGGATTACCCTCCTGGAGCAGGGCGGCTGGACCACACGCTCCACCGTGCTCCCTCCAGCCTGTCCCACTCCGTGAGCCGCAGAAGCCGCTCAGCGCCCGCAGCCCCCGCTGCCACCCCGCACCGGCGGAGGCGGCCCCGGCCGCCCGCGCTGCCCTGAGCGCGGCCCAGGCACGGCACACAGCGCACCACGAGAGGCCGCCGCAGGAAGAGGGGCGAGGATGGGGAGGAAAAGAAGCCCGAGGTTACCTCTCCCGGCGCCGGGCCGGGCTGAGCCGCACCACCGCCGCTGCCCGCCCGCGCCGGCCGCGCCGCGCCCCTTCGCTTCCCTTTCCTTTTCCGGGTACGGCGGCCCGCGGGGGCGGGGCCGCCTCACGTGGGGCCCGAGCGGCCGCGACCGCGACCGGGCTGCCCCGGAGCCTGTCAGGGCCGTCCCGCCGCTCCTGTCCGCGACCTGGGCACGGGGCAGTCAGCAGCAAAGAGGAGCTGGCCCAGAGCCTGTCAGGGCCGTCCCGCCGCTCCTGTCCGCCACCAGGGCCCGGGGCAGTCAGCAGCAAGGAGGAGCTGGCCCGGGAGGAAGGTTGGATCCCGAGAGGCGCCCTGCTTCAGAAAACACCGGCGCTTGGATTTAGGGCTAAACGGGAAGTGTGAATAATCCCCAAAGAGTTAAAAGGATGGGAGTCAGAGAGGTCTTTTCCTCGCAGGAAACACGAGTCATTCAGGGCTGGCAGCGGTGGGTGATGGCGCTAGGTGTGGTAGCATTCCCTGAAGGCTTGGAAAGGGTTTTGTACAAGGTCTTAAACAGAATGTGTATGTGGGCAGCCAGGGCCAGCACTGTGCTGTCCGGCTGTGGACACAGGGTGAATGGCCGGGATGTCGCCTTTCCACGGCATCCACAGGGCCTTGGCGGCGAGCGCTGTTTGTTCAGACCTGTCATTAGAACTAAAGATCTGGCAAAAGATCACTCTGTGCAGGAGTGGACAAATAGACAGTAAGAAAGTACTGAGATCACCGTGGAGAAAGGCTTGAAACTTGCTAAAAACATTTTGCTTCTTTCTGAAAAAGCATACTGTATTTTTCAAATGTTGCTTTGCTGTACCACTTAACTGGTCATGAGCCCTTCACCACTCTGAGTCCCAGGCATAGGGTCTCTTACACTTCTTTTTTCTTTCTCCAACATTTCCACAGTTTTTCTCTCTATCACCACATGATTAATATTAGTTACCTAATATTAGGTAAAGTGAGTGCAGTTGTGCTTACCCATGCCCACTGCCTGTGAATTTGGCCTCTCTTGTGTGATCAGTTGCCAAGGTTTTTCAGCTTGCTAGAGTGTGCGGGCAGCACTGAATCCTGCCCTAGTATCTGGCTTTACTGATGACTTCTGAATGCTATGACAGTGACTTAAACTTAACAATCAAGCCATTCTCAGCCATCTTCCTCCTGCTGCCTGCACTCCTGACACTGCCACCTTGCTCACCAGCCAGGAGGTGACAGATGTCTCTTCTTTACGTCTAATGCCTCCCACTTGCGGACTGAATTAAACCTCTTTGTTCCTGCGTTCAACTGACTGAAGGACAGAAGGGAAGTATGTGTTGTGAACAGCTTCAGAAATAGAGAACAACACATCAGAAGGTTATGGATTTGTTCCACGCACTCACTTTTGAAGTATTCTGTCAATCCTGCTCTTTTTTTTTTTTTCCCGAAGGAAGAGGGGGAAGCTATAAATGCAGGAGTGGGTGGGGTTGGTGTGTTTGGATCTTTTTTTGTTTAATGCTAATTCATTTTGCATGAATACTATTTACCACATGCCTTTCTATAATTTCAGTGACACAACATTTATGTCTAAGATGCTAATGTTAGGCATTTGCTCGTGGATTGTTTTCTTTTTTTAATCTTTTGAAATTACAGCTGCTACATGATGCAGCCTCTTTTTCTAGCCTCTTGCATGCCTCAACTGTCTTTGTTTCATTGTGTCAAATCTGGAGTTTCCCCTCACATCTTTTCAAGGTCATTTACAAACCTAAATATCGGAGCTTAGGTCACACAGAACTGGCCTTCAGTGGTCTTTATATTTTTTATTTAATTTGAGTACTTAACACAAATCAACTAGGCAAAAAAAGAATCCACTACAGTAAAAAAAATTCACCTAAAACACTTATTTGCAGTAAAATTTGAGGTCAGGTCTATTTTACCTGAACTGATCTCAGTATGTTTATCTTATGGTAAAATTAAAGTACAATAATATTTTTTCCCATTCTGTTATTTAGTGTTTTAGTCTGAATACATATCCAGCCGTGGGCTCTGCATTAGTTGTGATTACATAAAACAAAGGTCTTGGTGACCCTTGTGGATGGCTTAATGCGTGTATATAAATCTCTCAGCCTGTGGACAAATGGGAACCATTAATTAGAGAATTGGTGGAAAGCAAACCAGGAAGCAGCTTGATCGCTGTCTTAGTCCATCATGGAACTTCATCTTAATACAGCCTATACCTCCAGGCCTGCGCTAAAAAAAGTGCATGTTTGGAATTGAAATTATTGTCTTCATTAGGACTTTTTTTTTTGTTCATTTATTTTCAGGAGGTGACAGCCTTTTCAGCATGGAAAAATGGATTAGGAAGAAGAAGATGGAAATGAAAAAGCTTGTGAAATAATACCACATTTAACTGATGTGATTGGTGTTGCCCAAAAATGCCTTGATTGCTGTGCTGAGTGTGTGCCAGTGCAAATGCCTCAAGACTTACTAGTTGGGAATCAGTAAGGAGCTGGCTGTTGGTGCAGTTCCAGTCTCTTAGCAAGGCTTTATCACAGTGCCTTGTGTGAGCTCAACATTATGCACTTAATGGAGGTGATGATAGGGAAGTGGGCCTGAGCATGATGCTGGGAATCACCCTTAAGTGGTCCTTCTAAGCTTCTACCTCTAAAAGTTTCTTGAGATTTGGAAAGTTTATTTCCTTGCCTTTTAAATTTTTATGGAGAACATCAGTATCTTTGATTAGAGATAATAAATGTTTTATAAAATAAATGAAAACTCTGAAAGTTAAAAAATTTGGTTTTAGTTTAAACTGCAAAGTTGTTAGCATAGAATTTCTGGACAGCTGAAACCTCACACAAAACTCCCATCTTTTTCTTTAAAATCTCCAGTACTCCTTATATTCTATTAACAACACTTCACAGTTGTAAAGAAATCCCTGAATCAGGAATTCCTTGTTACTGTTCCAGTAGGGTCCTCCTTTCAGTACTATGCAGAACAAGAAGTTGTCAATTGCATATTTGATGTTGTTGTATTCTAAGTCCTAAAGATGCCTTTTAATGTGGCAATGTCCTTTGTTTTTGTGTGTGTTCTGTGGTGGTTTGCAAAATCCTTAGAATTCTGTCTGTAAAAAAAAAAAATTAAAAATATTGGTGTTACTGGTTATGTCTTCCAAATGGCTACAGATTTTCTGAAACCTATAACTGAGTTTTGGAGGGGAGTTTTGTTTTGTTTTGATTTGTTTTAATTAGCATAAATACATGACATTAATTTCTTAAGTTAAAAAAAAAAAGAATATATATATATCCTTACGTCAAATTCTCCACAACCTTCTCCTGTGCTCCTTTCTTTCTTTAGTGACTCATCCTCATGTCAGCAAATTCTTTTCTGAAGACCTCTCTGAAATAGAGAGGTTTTGTCTGAAGAAATAATTATCTGGAAGTTTCACAGCAAGAGCATTGGATCCTTTTGTCTGTGCTTAGCTGCACAGATGTCTGGGGAAGTGCTAACTGCCAGGGTGGGGCTTTGACTTGTATCATACATTTTCTTACAAATCATGGCTATAGATATGACCTGCTTGCAAGTAATTTCTGAAGAATAAGCCCTAAAGTGATGGAAATAGTAAAGAATAGAAATAAAATATTAAAGTTATGCTATTATCCCCTGCAGAGGATCTTTTGCCTTTGGCCTGATCCATCAGTTATTGAAGTCTGTGGAAAAACTCCCTAGGGATTTGAACATATGATCACAGATACTTATAAACCAAAAACTTTGCAGTTTGGGTCTGCTGCAATTTTTGTGTTCAGTAATTTTGATTATATCTTGTGTTCTTAATGCTGATGGTGCATGGAATATCAGTATTGAAAATAATTTGTAAACTGTTAAGCTGTGCTTGATAATGTGATTACACAGAAAAGCGTCTTGGCATTAGCTGTATGTGGGGTTATCAGAGTCTCGTAGCCATGAGCACAGAGGAGCAGTGACTTGAGGGGAAACTCCAGTGGCCAAGTCACTGGATAAACATGAGGGAAATGCCCTGCTCTGCATATTGGACTGTCAAAGGAGAAGGATGAGCCTTGGGACCACGTGTGAAATTCACCAGACAAGTTAATGGAAGAAGCTGGCTGGATCATTACCCTGAGAGGGGCGTTCAAGTCATTATGGGATGCAGGGACAGAGATTCTTGGGATTGTGCAAGGCTTATTATAAAATGTTTAGGAGAGTAAAGACCAAGGTGGGTAGAAGGAGGACCAAGGTAATTTGAGAAGGGACAAAGACAAGAAGATAGGGAAGAGAAGACAACAAGGGCCAGTTGCAAGGTTGCTGGTAAGTAGTTTAATGTGGTCTGCTGCTTTTCCAGCCTTGTCACTGAACTCTATCGGTAAATTTGTGGATGAGGGTCTGTCTGTTCTGTGTGGGTGGGTAAGTAAGTGCCAGTGGCTGGAGAGGACACCAGGATTTACAGGGGCTCTTGCTTGTTATACCAGCAGCTGGAAAGACAAATGTGGAGGTCTGAGTGCCAGCAGCTGGACAGGTGGCTGTAAGTATGTCATAGGTGTGTCTGAAGTGACAGCAACTGGAAAGACTGGAGCAGGTGCATATTGTGTGGGTACATCAATGATGTGTACATCAATGTGTGTAATTAATTACTAATGAACATTAAGGTGGAGGTCCAAGCCAGCTGTTGGAAGGACCCCTGGAATTAGGGGATGAGGCTGTGAGAGAGCCTGTTTGTACGTGAGCCAAGTGTCAGGTCAGGGGATTCAGAAGCTAGGTATAGAGGGAGCCACAGGGTGTGTGTCAGTGTGTGCAAGTGTGCACATGCTCCGGGGGATCTGGGAGCCAGCAGTCTGTGTGGCTAAACACCTCAGGGGCTTTTTTGTCCAGGTGCCAGCAACTGGAGACACCAGAAGATCAGAGCCAGTAACTAGACAGATGGAGTGTCTAAGAGCAGCTGCTGGAGGGATCTGTATTATATCCATCTTTGCATTCCTTGCTCATAGGCTTTCATCCTAATCAGCCAGATGGGGAAACAGGATGTGGGTGCCAGTACTGATGGTGATTGCATGAGGGCTGTGTTTTGGTCTGTGTATCTGACTGGCTCTGTGTGGGTACAAGTGCACCTCCACCTTTTTTTGAAAAAACTAACTCAGCCTCAGTGCTGTGGGAACTAGAGCAGCAACAGCCTGGCCTCTAATGGGTAATTGTTGTTGTTTGGGTATTGTGGAGGCATTAGATCTCAGATGCAGAAAGGCTGAGTTTCCAGGAAAAGAATGTAAACAGCAGCAAAGTATACTAGAAAATAATATGGAGAAAATTTGTAAGAAAAACAAAGATATAAACACTCCAGAGAAACTTATTTAGAATTGCAGAAAAATGTGCTTTGTTATATAGCAAGGTTATATATGCACAATACAATAATATGCAATAACTGTATACGTTCTTGTGGGTGCTATTGACTGAAAGATGCTGAAAGGAGAGAGTAACAGCATGTATTCATGCATGGCATGATTTTCAGTAGCATAAGTTATTATGTATCTTCACAGGAGACTTTACTGCATAATTAAAAGATATCCCAGGCTGGAGATTCTGTTCCTTTGTGCCATAGAAATATAATAATCAAAATGTCTGAATACAGTTTATCATCTAGTGCTTAGAGTTTCTATTTACTTTTAGAAGTTGCCAAAGAGATTCTGCATCCTAGAATTTTGTGTGTATCTAAAATACAGGGGTAGCAATTATTTAATCAGCAACTTTCTGCTTAGTTAGAAAAAGTTATATTTAAACAACATAGAAGCAATAGCTTCCTCATTTATTTGTTCCTTTTTTATACATTTGATTGTATAAATAGAAGCCTGAATCTCAAATGCCCTGGCTCAGTCAGCAAAGGTGGGCTGCCAACTTCACTGGGTTAGCACTGAGCTTTTCAATACTCATTGCCTTTACTTTTTTACCTGAGCCAGCCATGCAACTCTCACTTGCAATGAGAAAATTCATGGTGAAGAATATTTGTGGTAGCAGCATATTCTTCCCATTTTTGGGTGCAGTGTCCTGTAAAAGGGATGTTGCACTTGGATGACTTCTGTTGTGGCTCTTTTATTTGGACTGAACACAGTCATGAATCCAGGACTGGATTCATGACTGGCCACCCTTCCCTTTGACACAGCCTGCTTCTTTTTTGTACCCTGCTTTGCTTTGTCCTAACAGAAAAATTATGCCTCTTTAGTTTGTGTATTTTGAAAATGGATTGTAATAATGGAAGCCAGAGCTGTTCGTGGTACTGCTGGAATGAACTTTTGGAGTTCATGTTACTTTGCAAAGCTAGGGCACTTAAAAGCTAGGTTCAAAAAGCATGTATGAGTGCTGCAATTTTTACTGTATTTTATGTTCTCTGCTGAACACAGAAGATAATTGGAAGGCATGCATTTGGGAAGTTGTCTTCCTAATCCCAAATTCAAAATCAAAGTTTTCAAGCCCAAATGCCTTTGAAATCACTGAAGTTAATGAGTACTCAGCCTCTCAGAATCTAAGCCTGCTTATTTATATTCTTCAGTCCAGATCCAGTTTTCCCATGCCATTTTAAAAGCCTGTCTTTAATGTTAGCTTGGGTTCTGACCACTAAAGCTTTGATGAGTGCCATTAAGGTAAAGTAAGAAGTAAACCTGTTCTGACACAAAGGCTGGCTCACAGATAAAGTTGTTTACTGCATAATTATACATTAAAAGTATTGCTCTATTTCTCTTTGGAACTTTCTGGAAAGAAATAGCAATGTGCGTGTTGGGTAGCTCTTGGGACGTGCCACAGCTGCTTGTTTACATTCTGCAGAACTGATAGTGTCCGAAGTGTGCTGCACTAATTGTACCTAAGCAGATAAATTCTAAAACTGCATCTAGCACTTATAACACTTTAGATAAGCTACTCCTTTTCAACTACTTGGCATGGGTAGGGCTTCTGAATATCCAACAGCCCAGCTCTACTCTTCAAGGCTTGTAACATTTCTAGTAGTAGGAGAGCTGTTATTGGTCTCAAGACTTGCCTCTTTTGATAAACTGTTACACTGATGTCCTGAACGCTTTAAATTGTTGCTGCCTCATGGTGTGTTTGTTTCAAAACTATGATAAAAAAGTAACCTCATACAGCAGACAGATGCCACAATAATATTTAGCATTATTGTAATTTTGTTTTCTTCTGCCTGGTCTGTATGAAATTTGGAAGGTATAATATCTCTGGTGAAATAGAACACTAGTAGATAACTTGCAAACCTGGCACGGCCAGGTTTTTTTTCCTATCAAATTAATTTCCTTTGAACCTGAAGCAGCATCCATCAGATGTTGTCAGCAGCACAATGAGGCACTTACTGTATATTGTCAGTGGAATACCAATTAGCCTTTAATTTTACCACATGCCCAATCAAAAGAGCTATTGCTTTCACATGATGGCCGAAGGTCATTAAAACAAATGATCTTGCTGCCAGACAATGACAACAAAACCACAGCTCAGTAAGTAGTGTATCTGTTATTGGGCACTGACACACGCTAAATGCTGTGCTGTAAGCGCTTTTTCATTCTGCTTTGTTTCAGGTCACCCGATGGCCTGAGAGCTGTTGCTGAAACTCTGTCTCCTAACTTAAACTTTCCAGATACAATTCTATTTGCCTGAAATGTTCAGGTACATCAGTACTTTTGATGTCATAGCTGTCAATTTCTGTACATTTCCCTTTGCTTTCAGCTGTGCTTGTTGGTTTAGTTCTTAACAATCTTTTCCAGGAAAAACAGCAGCCTGTCCTCTAATGACCTGCATGTTTTTTTCTTCAGCCTTACATAGTGAGTGCTGTTGCATTACTTAAGATGTTGCAGCTTGTTTGGGTTCAGTCATCCAGACTATCTGAGGTGCTACACTTCATATTCTGCTGTGAGGCATGGGGAGTTCAGTTCTCTCTTCTGCTTGGGACATAAGAAAATTTCCAGGTTTTAGCTTTCTCATGTTTCTCATCCTACTCACTTTTGAACTTTCCTCTGTAAGGCAGTTGCCTATTTTTCTTCCTTCAGCTTGAGAGCAAGCTTCTTCACAAAATTCCATAGTAATACATTTATAACTGTATAACTGGATGGTGCTATTCACAGCTCTGAGTCAATCACACAAAGTTACTAAAATGTATTAATGTTTTTGCATTCAAAAAGTAACAAAACTATGTACTGATAATAGATACTAATTCTCCTACCATTTATGTTTTTAAGATGTCTGTACAAAAGTAAAACAGAGAAACAAAACTGGGAATAGAGCATGAGTGACAGCCAAAAAAAATTCCTCCTCTGTATGTAAGAATTTCAGTTCAAGTATTTGCAATTTTTTCTATGCTGAGTTTTTCCACCGAGTTTGCTCAACAATATTATCAACACTGACAACTCCTGCAGAGCAGCTGCATTGGTAACAATCAGAAAAAAAGGATTTTTACCCTTGCTGCAAAATAGTCTAGGCACCAAGTTTGTAGTCCTTTTCTGATTAACTTCTTTAAAGGAAAATTTTGCACAGATGGTAAATGATCCTGTGTGAAGTTTTTGGCTTGTCTGTTAATCAGGTAGCAAGTGGGCACCCAGAAAATGAGTATTGTATAAGCATTGACCCAATGACCACGTCTCTTCCCTTTCCTCCATAGCTGACAAAAGTTTATTTTCTACCGACTGTCACTGGAGTGTTTTCACCAGGAAAGGAAAAAAAAAAGGTGTAGCAGTTACACAATCCAATTGTAGTCTCTGAGTCTCCTGGAAATAATTCCTTCCAAGTGGTGTCCTGAGGAGGGATGGTGCATTCAGTCTGGTTCATTCTCCATATGAGATCAGATGTTTGAGTTGGACACCACAGATACGTGACAAACATTGCCTATACCATCTGCTGAAGCCAGTGGGTGTCCCTGATGGAATGGGAATGTGTGCTAATTTAGTGCAGCACTATTAAGTCTGATTTTTCACTGAGGGGTGTTTTAGATGCTTACCTGAAGCCATTGACCCAATGCCCAAGAATTAACTTGTACTAACTTTTACAAGTTGGTGAAAGGGT